GCCCATCTACTGTGGGAAGGCAGTGGTGGGTTTGGCCTGTGGCATGACCATCTCTAGTGCAGCCATTAAGGCTACGTACATCTTTTGGCTTTGCTTCTGTGTTGGGCGTTCTCTTGAACTGGCTTCTTTGAATGACAGAGTACATAGCAGTTCAAGCCTCTTGTGCTTATGGCTAATGGCACAAGGTTTGTTCTCCTAACTCCAAGATGCAAAATGCAGAAGGAAGGGTTGATTAGTTTGGCCTGGCTCAATGTTCATCCCTCAGGCAAGAAGTTCAGAATGTTATTTTCAGACCACTATTAGCATCACCTGAGGCCTTGTTAGTCTCAGACCTATATATCATAGGGTTAAGGCCCAGAAATACAAGTTTTACTAACCTCTCCAGATGAATCTGATGCACACTAAAGTCTAACAACCACTGCATTAGACTGAGAGAGAAACAGCCAATTGGCCCTTCTTGGGTCATATGCATAGTAGGTATTATTACCAATAGGGAAAAGGACATGCTAGGCAGAAAAATCACCATAAATATACCTTCATGTTCTCAATGACGTCCCACATTTGCAGCTGAAGAGAACTAGGTCAGTGGGTATAGTCTGAGACACTGGCTAGAGACTGGGCTTAGGAAAAAGCTGCCAATTTAGATTTGCTGCTCCTGCGCACCACCCCCTAACTCCCATCAGAATGTTCAGATTCCTTAAGGCCCCTCTTTTCTTCTTTTCAATTATTTTTGTTACATGTATGAGTGTTTTGACTGCATCTTAAGTGCACCATGTGCATGCAGAGCCCATGGAGGCCAGAAGAGTGCACTGGACCTCCAGGAACTGGAGTTATGGATGGTTGTTAGCTGCCATGTGGGGGCTGGGAACCGAACCCAGGTCCTCTACAAGAGCAGCCAACGAGTGCTGTTAACCACTGAGCCATCTCTCTAGCCCCTTCTCATTCTAATCTTTCTTTCATTTAATAAATAACTTTTGAGTACTGACGGTCATGCTCTTGTGGAGCTTACTTTGATAGATAGGGAAGAGATACAAACAATCAGCCATGGAGTAAAAATAAATGGGGTATGTTTGGTGCAGAGGACAAGAGGTCAGTTATCTGAATAACATGAGAGCAGGATAGAACAAATGGCCAAGGCAGAAAAGAGCTTTGCATTTTAGAAGGCCAAAAAGATGGTCCATGAGGCTGGACGGTCAGGTCCTATGAAGAGAGGCAGAAAGCCAACTCATCCCTGCTTGGATTTTATTTTCAGCACAACAGGAAGCTATTAAAGTTTTAAGCTGGGGGAATGACATCATCCAAATCTGCTCAGTTAACATTATTTTAGTTGCTATGTGAAGAATGGACTCTCTGGGGTTAAACATGGACATTATCAGCCTCCAGTACCAACTGCTTTCTGGCTTGTCTGAAATGTTAACAGAAATATTACATTTCCCTTTTACCAGAACTAGACTTAGGAAAAAAGAATGTTCTCAATATGCTAAGTAAATGCTAGTCACTTGGTAAGATTCAATGTGAGTTGGCATTTCATATTGTTCTTCACAGGAAATCAAAAACCCTGTTTATCAAAACCCATAACCACAAACAGTATTTCTCACTTCAAAAGGTATTCTTTCTTTTTTGGTCTTTTTGAGACCGGGTCTCCCTGTAGCCCCAGCTGGCCTGGAACTTGCTATGTAGTCCAGGCTGGCCTTGAACTCACAGAGATCCACCTGCCTTTGGGATTAAAGTCTTACACCACCACACCCAGCCTTAAGAGTATCATGAGGAAGATTGGCAGTAATAGCTGGCCTGCAAATACCTTGCTAGAGCAGCACCTGTCTCACAAGTGAAGTGTGCCTGTGCATTATTTCCCCTCAACACTGCAGATAGTGCTTACCAGTATAAACAAGGACCAAGACCATGGTTTATCAACAGCTGCACTGTGAAGTTGTAGCTTATGATGACTGTGGAGTTTCACTACCTGCATGGCGATCATTATTCTGTACTGTTTTAAAGCTGAAAGAGTGGCTCTAAATCTGGAATTGGCAGAATGTATCTATGTATCCCCCTGTTATGTGGATAATGCTGGAAGTCAACCTCTTTTTCTGATCATAGTCCATGCCTCTATTCACCTACTGCCAAAAACTTGCCTCCCAGCCCTGGATAGATTAGTTACTATACAGTGGTCCAGAGACTTTTCTCCTTTAAATAGTTAACCAAAATTTCTCACAAGTATTCGGAGTACTACTACTTCTACCACTACTATACTACCACGACACCACTTATACCACTACCACCACTACTACCATGACCAGACTCCCTGGACAAGCACTAAATTACCTTATTTAACTGCTTTTACTCAGTGCCAAGAAATCTGGAGCCTACAAACATGGTTATAGGAAACCCTTGGAAAGCTTTCAAAGATAGCTAAACCTCCCAAGGAGCAGTAACTTTTCTCAAGAGTCAGACAGATAATGAAAACCATTTTTCCAGGGGTGGAGTCATAGGTCAGTGGAAGAGTGCTTATCAAGCATGTGCAAGAGCCCTGGGTTTGAGTCCCAACAGCACACACAAAAGTTTTCTCCTAAAATCTCCTTTAAAATTTTTATGGCAGGATTGGAGAGATGGCTGAGCAGGTAAAGGTACCTGCAACAGGAGCCTAACAACCTGAGTTCCATCCTCAGGACCCACATAAAGCTAGGAAAGAACTAACTCCACAAAAGCTGTCCTTTGACCTCCACACACACCATAATGGTACCTGCACACACATTCATACACAAAGTTAAAAGAAAAACAAAACACTTATGTGAACTGTGGAGAGAACAGCAGGACCCAGCAGCTACAAGCCCTCAGGCAGTCACATGTCCCATACTGGGGACCTCAAGCTGAAGCTGGTTCCAGAGGAGAGAACACTTAAAATGTGAGAGGGTGGAGTCTTCCACACAGCACTTCTCATCTAGGGTGGAGAAAATGTGTCGCAAAGAAAAGAGGTAGATGGTGACTAAGGGACCACCTGAGGTTATCTCTGGCCTTCACACACGCACATGTATACTCTTTACATTATTATTTTTAGGTGTATGAGTGTATTGCCTGCGTGTAGGTACGTGCACCCGTGTCGTGCAGTGCCTGCGGAGAACAGAAAAGGCTGTCGGATCCCCTGGGACTGGAGCTACGGATAGTTGTTAGCTGCCATGTGGGTAACCACCAGCTGTTCCAGATCAGTGCCTGCTGTTCAATGTGATAAGAAGCAACAAGGGAAAAAGTGAACTGTGCAGATAACTTGTGTATAATTTCACTTTTTAAATTTATTTTTGTCACATGAGGAGGCATATGCCTTTAATCTCAGCACTCAGGAAGCAGATCTCTGTTGAGTTCAAGGCCAGCTTGGTCTACATAGCAAATTCTAGGCCATCCAGGGATATATAGACTGTCTCTAAAAATATTATTTGTGCTCTCAGAGACCAGAAAAGACCATTGGACTCCATGGCTGAAAACCAGTCTGAGGTTATTACTTTGGCTAAGATGCATTTGCATGCAAATACAATTAACTGACAAAGAAATGATTGCTACTGCTGGACACAGTACTACACACCTTGTAGACCCACTGGGGAGACCTACAAGGAGGACTGTCACAAGTTCAGGGTTGCCTGGACTATATAGGGAATTCTATGCTAGCCTGGGATACAGTGTAAGAGCCTATCTCAGAAAAGATTATACCTACTGTTTTTGTTCACAGAGGTAACCAAACTATACTTTGTTGTTGGTGGTAGTGCTACAGGGATTTGAACTCGGGCCTCCTGCATGCCAATTACTATTTCTGCTTATTGACATTTCTCAAGTATATCTAAAACTTTCTCTTCCTTTCTACTTTCAGGCTCAGGACCAAAGGTAGTTCTGTTAATTCCTTTTAAAATCATACTTGCTTCCTAAAGAAGGAACTTTGTATACAGAGAGCCTTCATGTTCACTATTCTGTAACACAGACACCCAGGGTAGGGGAGGAGTCTTCCAATACTGATTTAAGAATTTCCCTGTAAGAGTAGCTGGAGAAATTGTTCAGCGGTTTTAAGAGCAGTGACTGATCTTAGGGAGGCCTTGGTTTCAGTTCCCAACATCCGCGTCGGGCCGCTCACAACCTATAACTCCAGTTCCAGGGAATCCAACTTCCCCTTCTGACCTCTGTTGGCATTACACACATAGGTGCACTTACATATATATGCAGGCAAAACTCATATAATACGTAAAATTAAAAAAAAAGATTATGAGCCGGGTGTGGTGGTGCACACGTTTAATCCCAGCACTCGGGAGGCAAAGGCAGGTGGATCTCTGTGAGTTCCAGGCCAGCTGTGGCTACAGGAGACCTGTCTCAAAAAGACCAAAAAAAAAAAAAAAAAAAAAAAAAAAGAATATGAATAGGGTCTAAAGAGATAGCTCAGCAGTTAAGAGTGCTTGCTGTTTTTGCAGAGGACCCAGGTTTGGGTGTGAACACCCACACAGCACCTAACAACTAACATGTAATTCCAATTCCTGGGCAATCTGATGCCCCCTTTTAGCCTCTGTAGGCACAAGGCACACATGTGGTGCACATATATACAGGAGGCAAAATTGGCAAACGAAGAGGGTATGAGCAAAACAAAGTCTATCAAAGTATTTCAACTTGCTGGGCTTTGCATTTAAAGTAAGGCTTCTCAGACATTTCAAATCCCACAGCCAAGCTAGAATACAACTTGCCCATTTCTCAACAGGTGCTGCCTGCTTTTTTTTGAAACTTTAAAGCGATCTTTTTTTTTTTTTTTTTTTTTTTTTTTTGTCTTTTTGAGACAGGGTCTCCCTGTAGCCAGAGCTGTCCTGGAACTCACTATGTAGACCAGGCTGGCTTTGAACTCACAGAGATCCGCCTGCCTCTACCTCCCAAGTGCTGGGACCACAGGCGTGCGCCACCACGCCCGGCTTAGCAATCAAGTTTTTAAGTAAATGACTGGATGATAGTAAATGCCAAGTAATGAAAAATACTTCCCTGTGCCTTAAATTTATAATCAAGGAAATAACAATTTCCTTAGGGGTGATGCCCAAGTTCTCATTGCTAATGTGAGGTGAATTTGAGTGGGTAAAGGTTACCACTAAGGGACCTGCCTACTTTAAAGGATGCCTGGATGTAATGATCTGCCTGACATACTCTTAAAATAAATGAACAAAAAGCTTTCAAGTAAAACAAGAAAAAAAGGAAAGAAAAATACTTCCCAAAGGTATTCATACATACAAATTTGAAGGTAAATTTATATGACTTTATAAAAAAGATGAGATATCCTAGGAAATATGTAATCAACTCTTAACTTTAAGCCCTTCATAGCTATATTATATCTTTATTTAACAATTTAGTAGAAGCCAAATTGATGGTTCTTAATACAGTGTGTGCAGAACAAAGTTAGAGAATACAAAGTACTCCTCAAAAGCATTACGTTCAATACTGGTTCCTTCAACATTATCAAACTTCTGAGAAAAAAGTTTTTGTACTAAAGTTGAACTGGAACATGAAAGATGACTAGGAAAAAAGTTTACTAATTTTGAAAATCTAAAAAATAGTTCGACTATACTGGATCACACAGAAATCACGTTTCAGAAGAAAAAACAAAGGAAAAAAAGAATTACCACTGAAAATATTGCATAGCCAGCTGTTTCCTCCAAATTTACTTTGTATTATTGGGTGGATATAAATTAATGAACAGAAATTAAGCAAGGTATACATAACAATTTAATAGAACCTGATAACTTAATTTCAATTTTTTTTTCAATTTCATCTTTAAGTCTTTCCTTTATAGGGCTCATCAGGAAATTAAGCAACACATGAATACTTAGGTTGAATGTCAAATTAAGTATGATATGGTAATTTCTTCTATAATGCAATTATGAAGAACCTTCAAGAAACTTGTTTTGAATGTAGAAAAGTGTTGAGTCAAATGTTCAACTCAATATAAAGTAAGAACCATTTCTGATTTGTTAGGTGGAGAGAGCTTCTCCTACTGCTAATGATTTTTAGCTATGATATCAGTAAAGTAAACAAATCACCTTGGGAACATAAGGAAAAATAAACACATGCTAAGTGGATAAAACATGACTACATTTTTACTAGACCATCTCTACCTCTAACATTTCAGAAGTTTAGAGATTTAGAGTGTTCTTACATTAATTGCAAGAAAAAGTAAAGGAGAAATTCCTTTTTTTGAGATCACAATTATGAGTTGCATGGTTATACAAATTCTGCTGCATTTGTGTGCAAAACACGAAACACATTTACCTTTATTTTTGTCAGTCACCTAGCTGGACTGAACAGATATCTTTCTAAGAAACAGAGACTGAGATGTGTTTATGTAACTTCAATAACCTCAGCACTACAGTAACAAGAGATGCAGTATCCTTTTGCTATGGTTCCAGACAACATGGAAAGAGGTCACAGGAAAGAGAATCAAAATTGTCACAACTGAGAATCTATTTCTTGTTAAGTTTCACCCTGGTGCCGCCTTCATTTTTATAGAAGCACGGTGGCATAATTCAAGCTCAATAAATCGGAAATCTTAATATTTAAATTTCACCTTGACTTTCAATTATCATCATAATAACCAACACAATAAGATAAGACACACAGGAAAGGTTTAATATTAAACCCACTTTGCTAGAGTTGGTTTCTTGACACATCAACTCATTTTTAATAGAAAAGGGATAGTGCATCTCAGTTTGCTTACAAGCTAGGAGATCACTTTGAATTCTGCATTTCCTAACTGCAAACAGAATACAGCACTTACAACAGGTTATAAATAAACTGGTTTTCAAGCACAGAGCCAGCCCCAACGATAATAATACACTATTTAAAGAGACCTAAGGCAATGAATTCCATTTCCAATGGAAAAAAAGAACTGTGCAAACAAGCTTAAAACTACGTTTTTTTTTTGTGCCAGTGTTATAAAATGTAGCTTTTAATAAAACCTTGACCCAAATGCCAGTAACTTCAGAAAAGAATTTGGGTGGAAGGGAGAAACTTATCTCATTTAGGAAAAATAACAACTATCTTTTTCCTAATCTTCAACACACACAATTTAAACACATACAGCTGCTGTAACACTTTACACAATTCCTATGTACTGGAGCAATAACAAGATCTAAATACAATTATGTTTTTAAACACTGGGTCAAGGTTTTACATAAAAATACCATCTTACTTTCCCCACTGGGTTTCTAAAATATCACGTACTTTCCTCAACATCTGCAGCCATCCAGGAATTTTTAGGAAACTTTTGTGCATGATCTTAATTCCTAATCCCTGGCTCTTTGGGCTCATTGACAAAAGATCAAAACCACCAAAATTGATGGTTCACTTGAAGTCAGACAAGAGACCCTGGCTCAGTTAGTCTCATAGGATGAAAGCAGTGCTGCATCAACTGGCTCCATGCAGGAGGGGCACGTGAAGGATCTCATCAACCAGTCATCTATACAGTCCAGGTGATAGATGTGCATGCACGGCAGAAATCGAATTGGGTCCCCATAAACAAAGTCCATCATACAGATCACACACCTGTGGAAGTAAGGAAGAAGAAATCAGAAGTTTTCACAGAAGTGGCCCACCCAGAATGTTCCTTTAAACATCACGAAGACAGTTATGTAAATAACACATTTATTGGAATGGTTTGCCCATCACCTTATTACTAAAGCTCGCAAACAAGCACCGATTCATTCATATTTGATCTCCCGATAGGGTTTAAGACCAACAGATCCCATTGGGGATCAAATCCTCTGCTGTGTGTGATGGCTGATCACGGTTGTCAACTTGACACACTAAAAAAATGGAACCACAATTGAGGAATTACCTCCATCAGACTGGCCTATGGGCAGGTCTGTGGGGTATTTGATGTAGGAGGGCCCAGCCCACAGTGGGCTGTTGTTGTCCCCCAGGCAGGTGGGCCTGAGCTGTCTAAGAAAGACAGCTGAACAAGCCAGGGGAAGTAAGCCCTTGGACAGTGTTCCCTCAGGGTCTCTGCTTCAGTTCCTGCCTTGAGCTCCTGCCCTGGCTCCCCTCAACGATGGCTTTAAAGTATAGATGAAACGTTTTCATCACAACAGAAAGCAAAGTAGGACACTGCATGAAAAGTTACATATTCCAGGAGACATTCACTGTGATGTTTTAGGTAGGAAAGAGAGTTGGATCAACTGTTCCCTTGTACTGAGTTTTCAGTGTAATCTAGAGTAACATAATTTTTATTTTAAAAGTAACTACATGTGGGGCTGGAGAGATGGCTCAGCAGTTAAGAGCTGACTTCTTGTAGAGGACCCGGATTCAATTCCCAGCACCCTCATGGCAGCTATGAACCATCCTTAACTCCAGTTCCAGGGGAATCCAATGCCCTCTTCTGACCTCTGCGACATTGCACGACACAGGTGTACTTACATACATGCAGGCAACACACTCATACACATAAAAATAATAAATAAAATATTTTTTAAAAAAATAAAGAAGCTATCACCAGTTCTTCAGCGAGCAAGGATCCTGAGTATTTCCACAAGGCTGCTCATTCCTCTGTAAAATGGGCTGCAGTAAAAAAAACAACAAAAAAACCACAACTGCATGTAAAAACACAATGACTGGGCTGGGTATGGGGGCACACACCCTTAATCCCAGTACTCAGAGGGCAGGTGGATCTCTGTGAGTTTGAGGACACTCTGGTTTACACAAGTTTCAGGTCTGCTAGGGACCTCATGGCAAAAAAAAAAAAAAAAGGACAAACAAAACGACTAATTTCAGGCTACTCATTTGGGTGCTCTAATTTAAAACTGTCTTCGCTAACTCAGTTAAGTCCACTGCACTTTTTTATGGGTTTAAGAAACGACTCAATTCTGCAGCAGTTCAGTGCACTACACACACTATACTCTTTAAGTACTAACATTAAACAGTGCTATAGCTCAAATTATTAGCATAGTAAATTATGGATTATTGATCTGTGTGGGTGAAGTCATTTTCAATTTAAAAATTGGCTGCTGTTTAAGGATCGTCATAGGTAATGATGATCTTGGGGACAAAAATTCCCCAATGGGCTTGATAAAGTATTTCGTGAGTTATGAAATACACTTCTCTCCTATCACTAAAAATTCTTAGTAGTTTTAATGAGTGCTATTAAGTTTTAAATGTGTACTATTCACCATAAGCTCATGTGTTTGAAAACTTGGTCACTAGCTAGTAGCACTGTTCAGGGAGGTGGACCCTTTAGGGCACTGGTCACTATGAACAGGCCTTGAAAGCTATAGACTAGCCCCTGGTTCAATCTAGCTCTATGCTTCCTGTCTACTGCCACAATGTGACGAGCCACCTCACAGACATGCCACCAGGGCAAGAGGCAGTCCTGTTGCCGTGTCTTTCCCATCATGATGGACTGAGATTCCCTGAAACCTTAAGGCAAATAAAGCATTCTTCCCTTTTTTTAAAAAAAATATTATTTTTATTTTATGTGTATGTGTGTATTGCCTGCATGTAGGTAAGTGCACCCGTGTTGTGCAATGCCTGTGGAGGACTGTCGGATCCCCTGGAACTGGAGTTACGGACCTGGGTCTTCTGCAAGAAGAGTCAGTGTTCTTCAAAGAAAATTGTTACCTGCAAATGTTTAAATCCTTGGAATATTGATAGACCTTTCCAAAAACAAACTGATGGCTTTAGTGGTAGAGTACTTGCCTAGCACTTACAAGGCTTGAGGTTTAATCTCCAGTGCCAAAAAAAGCTAATGCCTGAACACAGACCTCTAAAATAAATAAATATATATCAGTATTAATACTTACTCTCGGATCTTCTTTTCTGACCCATCTCTCCCAGGGTCATAGACTCCTTTAGGCAGATGCTGTATAAGGCCTATTCTCTGAGCTATTCTAATCTGTTCCTCTTCAGTCAGCTGAGTTGCTAGCCGAGTCTGGCTGGGCGTTGGATGATAGACTGGAACTGGAACTTGTTCCTAAATGTGAAAAGTGTAGGAAAAATTATCTCAAAACTCATTTTCTGGGGTATACTAATTAATTATCCAGAGGTGGGAGGAAAGGGGGGGGTTCTAAAAAGACAAGAGGTTGGGTAAGCCTGCAGCAGTATGACTATTTCACTGTTATTTAGCTTCTGAAACGCATACACACACATGCATATATGCAGAGGCCTAAAAAGTTACACATTTAGATAGCTCACCTACTTTTTAAGGGATAATCAACACAATCCTCACTGAAAATTTGGCATGGAATAGTAACTGAAGTACTCCCTACATCAACACTATATAATTCAGATATATTCATTGTTCCCGATAAACCAATGTAATCAAGCAACTGAACTCAGCAAACATTGAGCTAAGCTGCAATGAGTTGTATTCCCAATATGCAACATTTACATTACAACCAATTAAGCATGGCCTGATGTATATGTCCATAATCCCAGCACTTGGTAGGTAGGACTGAGGGAGGAATATCAAGTTCATAGCCAAACCGGGCTATATAATAAGCTTTGCCTCAAAACCAAAACCAAAAAGGCAAGTAGTCATTTTAGGGCTTATTTTTTCCTTCCACAGACATAACAGCCATTCATTTACTATTTGATTTGTTTTGTTTTTTGAGACAGGGTCTCCCTGTATTCCCAGCTGGCCTGGAACTTGCTATGTAGACCATACTGGCCTTGAATTCAGAGAGATCTGCCTGCCTCTGCCTCCTGAGTGCTGGGATTAAAGGCAAGAGCCACCATACCCAGACTCATTTACTATTTAAAAGAGTGTATATTTATTGAATAAGCATGTACAATTCTATTTTGTGTACTTTGGACATAGTTTATATGATCAAAAACTGAGTGACCCTTTACTTACCCTTAAGTATGTGGATACCAGGGCTGGAGAGATTGCTTAATGGTTAAGAGCACTACTAGCTGCTCTTGCAGAGGATCTGGGTTTGGTTCCTGGCCCCAACACGGTGGCAAACAGCTAACCTGTAACTCCAGTTCCAGGTCATCTCGCACCGACACTGGGCCTCTGCAGGCATTACACGTGTTTGGTGCACTTACATGTATGCAAGCAGAATACTCATATACATAAAATAAATTTTTTTTAAAAAAGGATATGGACACCTTCATCATAGACATTTACTTCTTTAAAGTTTTATACTTAGTAGGCAAAATTCCAATGCAGAAAAGTTTCATGGGTTACAGTTAAAAACACTTCCTCATGGAGGCTGTAGAGACGGCTCACTGGTTAAGAGCATTGACTGCTCTTGCAGAGGACCAGAGTTCGATTCCCACACCCACATGGTGGCTAACAACTGTTCGTACACGAAAGGCAATATATTCATACACATAAAATATTTTAAAATGTCCTCACTATGCTACTTATTAGTTATATATGATACTGGCCAATCTCTATGTGCTTTAGCTTCACCATATTTAGAGTTCTAGTGTCACTGGAGGAAGTAAACGGGATTTTTTTTTTAAAGACTTATTTTATGTGTATGTATAAGTGCCTGTGTGTATGTATGTATGTATGTGCACTGTGTGCCTGGTACCTGAAGGATAGAAAAGGGTAATGGGTCCCCTGGAACTGCAGTTACAGACCAAGTGGGTTCTAGAAACTATACCTGGGTCCTCTGCAAGAGCAGCAAGTGCTCTTTACCAAGGAGTCATTTCTCTAGCCTCTTAAATGGGAATTTTAGGCCTTGTCCTTACCACTTTACCAGATACATGAAAGCTCAGTCAGTAAATATTAGCTACTGTGACTATAGAGCAGCATTTCAAAACTGCTAGGAAATGTATGAATCAGATGTGAAACCAGTAGTGTGGAGGCAGAGACAGGAGGGTCAAGGCCAGCCTGGGCCATACAGTAAGACCTTGACTCAAAAAACTGCAAACAAAATACAAAAGAAATGCATTGGATTATGGTGACAGTAAACTTTTAAAAGAAAGATCTTAAAGTCATCTACGGCAAGTACTGTATTTGCATTCTCTGCTCCTCTGTGTAGTGCAGTCTATGACACAGAACACGATGGAGGAATAAAAGTTCACTAAAAATGTTCCCTAATAATAGCTAAATCAGGTTAGTGACTCATTAACTTGCCTCAGGCTTTTCACTTTATTATATCAAACATTTTCTGGAATGCTTAGCCATTGTTAAAAATCCAATTGAAGTTTGAGTACATGCCATACACTGAGTTTTTGGTTTTGTTTTAGAAGTATATTTTTAGGAGTGATTGATAATGATGCTTGCTTCTGCCACCTTCTTCCTCCCCCAAATATAAACCTTAAATGTTTGCCAATTAATCATTTCCTATGTACGAGGAAACAGAACAAAAAGGATAATTGCAAGCTAGTTAATATAGATGCTGGTCTTTAAGTGGTGTTTGATGAAAACAGATCACTAGCAGGGAAAGAGACCAAAAAATACTTTGGAACTAGCTATTCCTGAATGGAAAGGTCTTTGGATGTATATCTCACCAAGAATGACCTATAATTAATTCCACTGGCTATACTTATCTCTGTATCTATGAATTCAAAGACATAAAATATTATTTCTTGTTTGGGTTAAAACAGTGATTACCAACCAGGCATGGTGGCACAGGCCTTTAATCCCAGCACTCAGGAGGCAGAGGCAGGCAGCTCTCTGTGAGATCTGAGGCCAGCCTGTTTACATAGTGAATTCAAGGCCAGCGAGGACTACAGGGAGACCTTTTATCAAACAAAACCAACAAACCCCAAACAACAACGACAACAAACCCAGTGGTTCTCTCCTTCCCCTCCTGTTCTCTTTTTCCTTTTCTTTTTTTGTAGTGGCACCGAGGATCAAACTCTGGACCTCCAAGCATGGCAGGCAAATATTACCACTGAGCTAAGTACATGCTCAGCTTCCAAACTGCTGTTTTGAGATAGTCTCTTGTAGCGCAAGCTGACCCAAGGCAATGTGTAAATCAAAACGACCTTGAACTTCGGATTCTCCTGCTTCTACTTTCTGAATGTTTATAGGCTTGTGGCATCATGCCCAGTTTTATGTGACAGTGGAGCTTGAACCAATGGCTTTGTGCATGTTAGGTAAGCACTACCATGTGAGCTACATCCCTAGTTTTGCTTTGAAACAGAGCCTTGCTGTATAGCCCAGCCTAGCATCAAACTCATTAATGTAGTCTAGATTGACCTTGAACTTGTGATCTTCCTGCTTGTGCTTCTGGAGTCCTGAGATTACAGGTTGTGTACCACTACACATAGCCATTATGTGTAATCTATAATAAATGTCTTTTCCTAACCACTAGACTAAATGTGGTGAGGCGGACGGACCGGACCTTTGCTTATCAATGTATACTCTCTACTCAGCATACATATATCTATGGCACATAGTTGGGAATCAAAATGTTACTGGATACATTTATTGAATAATTAAATTACACAGTTCTGTAATGTATGTTACATAATATCAGAATTTTGCAACATGTTATGAAAATATTGCTAAAATAATTTAGACTAAGTTACAATAAAATCAAAAGGGAAAACTTGCAAATTATAACCAGTATTTCTTTATTGAGTGAAAATACTTGTTTTTTTGCCTTTTCCAAACATTTATCTTCTCACCCTACAAGAATTTTAATAACAAAAACACATTTATTTCTTCTTCTATAATCTTCTAACTCAATTTCTATGCTTTCTACCTAGGTTAATGACAGAGAAGTATAACAGAAAAAGTACACGCATTTCATGAGATTTTATACCTGGCACTTAAAACAAATATGACTTTATAGTGTATTACTTAATACTCCTGAGCCCTAACGGCTCTACACCAAAACAGAATAACTATTTTTTTAATTTTAAAAATTATTTTTATTTATCTTATGTGTATGAGTGTATTGCCTGCATGTAGGTAGATGCACCTATGTCGTGCAATGCCCTCGGAGGTCAAAAGAGGGCACTGGGTCCCCTGGAACTAGAGTTACAGAAGGTTGTAAGCTGCCACGTGGGTGCTGGGAATCGAATCCAGTCCTCTGCAAGAGCAGTCAATGCTGTCTGAGCCACCTCTCCAGTCCCAACTATTTTTTTAAAAGAATGTTATACTGCTAGGTGTTGTCCTACACAGGTGTAATCCTAGCACATGGGTGGGAGAGGCAGGAGGGCTGCTTCAGCCAGGGATACATAGTGAGAACCTATTTGAAGCAAACAAGCAAGCCGATAAATACAGAGAATGTTGTAAGAAATAAGGTAAGTGAAGCACATTCAGTAGGAGCTCAGCATCTGAGCTGCTTTATGATGCAATCACTCGTCATCCAAAGTAGACATGTCACCTTTCCTGCCTCCCGATTCCTCCTTTCCCTTTACTCTTTATCCATCATCTATTCAAGTGCTTTCATGAGACATGTCGCCATGCTGGCCTACTGCCTCAGCCTTTCAAGCACTGGATTACAGGCATTCTTATCTAACCATCATTTTCATCAACAGGAAACACAGAGATGTTTGTCTAGTGAATCCAAACATGGAATTCACAACTGAAGAAGTGTGTTTCAAATAAATCCAAAGGATATTCTCCTGAATAATGCTTTGTTCGTTTCTCCGTATGAATGTTCACAGAGAGAAAAAGGAAATTCACAATATAAGGGAACACAAGATTGTAAAATGCTGAGAAAGCATGGTGAGGGGCAGAGCACGGGGAAAGAACAATCCTCTCCCCACAGAAAAAGAGTAAGTCCTAACCTGCACAGAAAAATCTCTAAAACATTCATTGTTATTATGCAGTATTTGTCATTGTGCTGGTGATAATCCCAGAGCCTTGTTTGTACACACTAGGCCAGCACTCTACCGCTGAACTACATGCCCAGTTCCTTGCTGTATATAATGAAACACCCAAAAAATGACAAATATTGTCAGGAATATGTTGGGCCCTAGGCTTATGAATTTGTAAGCCAAAAAAAGATAGAAACTGATGAAAATGTAAATGTTATGCTGGGCATGGTGGCACACACC